CAGACATTCAGGCTTATACAGGAGTCAGAAAAAAGTTGAAAGGCATCTAAGACAACCATCTCCAGATAGATCACAATGGAAATACATCCAAGTTACAATTCCTCCATCAAGCCTCCTGCTAAGAGCAATGTGATCCATTCCACAAGGTCTACTACAACAGTGGAAATAAACAGAACTTTAGACTGAATTTTTTGGGGGTAGAAAATGTTTCTTATTCTATTTGCACAGTGCCTAGTACACTTGATCTTAGTTGAGCCATCCTAGGCACTTTCATAATACAAACAAACAATCTGTAACTCAATGTTGTCTTTCACAGATACAGCTTTCAAAGGTGGGGCTCTTTAGGGTAGGTCTACACTACTATTAGACACCGGCAGCTTTCCCATGCCAGCTGACTCAGGTTCATGGGACTCAGGCTAAGGGGCTGTTTAATGGTGGTGTAGAGTACACATTTCAGGCTCAGGCTGCAGTCTGAGCTCTGGGAGCCTCCCATCTCACAGGGTCCTAGAGCCTAGGCTCCAGGTTAAGCCCGAACATCTACACCGCAATTAAACAGCCCCTTAGCCCAGGCTCTGTGAGCCTGAGTCAGCTGGCATGGGAAAGCTGCCGGTGTCTAATAGTAGTGTAGACCTACCCTAAAGAGCCCAACCTTTGAAAGCTGTATCTGTGAAAGACAACATTGAGTTACAGATTGTTTGTTTGTATTACGGAAGTGCCTAGGATGGCTCAACTAAGATCAAGTGTACTAGGCACTGTGCAAATAGAATAAGAAACATTTTCTACCCCCAAAAAATTCAGTCTAAAGTTCTGTTTATTTCCACTGTTGTAGTAGACCTTGTGGAATGGATCACATTGCTCTTAGCAGGAGGCTTGATGGAGGAATTGTAACTTGGATGTATTTCCATTGTGATCTATCTGGAGATGGTTGTCTTAGATGCCTTTCAACTTTTTTCTGACTCCTGTATAAGCCTGAATGTCTGTCTTTCATCATATTCAAGTTTTGTTAATGTAAAATCTAAAAGCGTATCTCTATCCAGGATATGAAGTTGATATTCAAATGTGTATTTTGGCTTGCACACAGAAAAAGCATAAAGAAATAAACTGATGTAAATAGAATTGTGTTCCTCATATTTATAAAATCAGGAGAACATCTGAGTGATTGTTTGCAAAGTGATGTGATGAAATATAGAAAATAAAGTTTCTTTCACAAAGAGCTCCCAAACCACTGACTCTTGTAGCTGTTGTCATTCTGCTTAGAAAAGAGCACTTGAGTGTCAGCAAAAAAAAGGGTACTTCTAAGGCAGTGGTGGGCAACCGGTGGCCCACCGTTTCCCGCAGCTCCCTTTGGCCGGGAACGGTGAACCACGGTCACTGGGAGCTGAGGGGGACCGTGCCTGCGGACGGTCAACATCAGCAAAATGTTTCATGGCCTGCAATCAGATTACTCTGGTGGGCCGCATGCGGCCCATGGGCCTCAGGTTTCTCACTGCTGTTATAAGAGCTGAAATGGTGACTTAATCATTGCTTGTAAAACCGTATTTGAATTCCATTTTTTCCTCTGATCTTTGATCAGTGGACACGGATTGGGTGCAGTTAAACGTTTTCTTTTACCTTTTGTTAGTAGAAAAGATACTACTAGTTTGAGTGAATATTCCCTTTCCTTGCTGCTGGTTCCAGTATTCTCCATTATATTTTACCTATTGGTGAAAGAAAACAGTAGCTGAGAGTCTGCCTTAAAGTATGTGTCGGTGTAATAGGAGGCTATTTCCTTTATGCAGAGGGAGAAAGGATCCTATTGTGAATGCCTGAACTCTGAAAGAACTTTGATAAAGTTCTTTGTCAAAAGGAATGCTACACTTGCTTTTAAGGAACATAACCAGGCAACCTCAGAGATGTATTTTATTCCAGGCTATACAAGTCCTCCAAATTTGCTTGCATGGTTTTCTACATTTGAGTGGGAAGTCTATCATTTCACTGGAATACCTGCATCCCTGAAGATTTAGTCTTTCAGATGGCAGGCTGTCAATCTCAGCCTCTAACAATCTGGGTATCCAGAGCCCAAGCATACAAAAAGTGCCTCTATGGCTTGTGGACATTGGGCTCTCTGAGTTATCACAATAAATAGTGGTCTTGTTCTTCTATATTTTCCTAGTAACCCAGGCTTAGAATGGAAAGGAGAAGATGCCTTTTTCCAAGTGCAAGGGTGACAATGCTGGGAGCAAGATCAGTGGATCTCTTCTGTTCCAGAAGCCACAGAGATCTATTTGTCGTTGGAGCCACCTGACTGACTGTAGATAAAAATATAGATTGGTCCAACTCCTTCTCTTCTGTGGCAGATATCTTCTGTTGAGAAGGCTGCTGGGTGGCTTAGCTTGGACATATGACCTTGATGGATAAGACCTTGCACCCAAAATATTCAGATTTGTTGTGGGTTCCAGGTTTAGTCTGGAATATTTTATTCCATTGTGGCAATTCAGGTGGGCTATTATCTGTTGTCATTTTCAGTCAACATTGTGGAGGTCTCCTGCAAATCTTGAAGGAAAAAATCTATAGCATTAAGCTTTAAGCAGGAGGTCTGATTCTCATTTAGGCCTGGGGTACACCTAGCCCCCACTGTAGATGCAGCTAGATTGATGAACGAATTCTTCTGCCTCTTGGAAAGATGGATTACCTACATCCATGGAAAAAGCCCTTCCGTTGATGTAGGAAGCATCTATACTATAGCAGCACAGCAGTTGTGCCACTGTAGTGTAGACATACCCTTACGCTAAGGCCACCTTGCATTTCTCTGGCAGCATAAAGAGGCCTTAAAGTAGGTATAAATATAATTTAACCATTTACTCTGCCAGAGTGGGGTAAAATGGTCTTATTGCCATGAGAATCAAGCCCAGGGTGTGTTAAGGACACTCTGCTTGAATGTTAGGGCTTTCACCAGTAAGAACTTGTCTACGCAGAGGTTGCAGTGATTTAAGTTAAATTAATTTAACCAATGCAAACCACTATATGTATGGTTTCAAAGTAGCAGCCGTGTTAGTCTGTATCCACAAAAAGAACAGGAGTACTTGTGGCACCTTAGAGACTAACAAATTTATTTCAGCTTAAGCTTTCGTGGGCTACAGCTCACTTCTTCAGATGCATCTATATGTATGGTACTTATGATACTTTAAAACTGCTGGAAGCTGTTTAGCTTGCAACTCTAAATTTCACAGTGCAAGCTAAACCAATATGAACCCGATTTAAATAGACTAAGCAAGTCCACACACAAAGGGTATGTCTTCACTACCGGCCGGATCAGCGGGCAGAGATCGATCCAGCGGGGATTGGGATTTATCACGTCTAGTCTAGATGCGATAAATCGATCGCCGAGCACTCTCCCGTCGACTCCTGTACTCCAACTTGGCAAGAGGTGCAGGCAGAGTCGACGGGGGAGTGGCAGCAGTCGATTCACCGTAGTGAAGACACCGTGGTAAGTAGATCTAAGTACGTTGACTTCAGCTATGTTATTCACGTAACTTAGATTGATCCCCCCCCTCCCCCAGTGTAGACCAGGCCAAAGTTTCACCATTTTAACTAAATTGGTTTAAAAACATGTCTGTGATTAAACCAGTGCAACTTGGTGTGTAGATCAGGCCTTAGTCATTCAAGTAGTTGTGTATCTGTATTCCTTCATCTTTTAGGCTATGTCTACACTTAAAATGCTACAGTGGCATCGCTGCAGCTGCGCTGTCATAGAGCATCAGTTTAGACACTCACTACAGTGACAGGAAGGAGTCTCCCATTGCTTTAGTTAAACCGCCTCTCTGAAAGGAGGAATTCTTCTGTCAACCTAACGCTGTCTACACCGGGGGGTTAGGTCTGCATAGCTACGTCTCTCATGGATGTGAATTTTTCACATCCCTGAGAGACATAGCCATGCTGATGTAAGCTTCCAGTGTAGCCCCCGACCTTACTTTGGAGATCAAAGTGACAATCAGTTTGGCAAAGACTGGATGACAGCAATAGGCTAGTTCATAAAATTAATGTTTCTTCTGCACTGTGAACTTCAGGAATTATTTCTTGATTGGGATATGCAGGAGATTCTCCAAGATCTGTACAGTAGAGAGGTGAAGAGGGAGCTTTTCGTTCTGAATTGTGTTCTTCAAATCAAAAGTTTGTTTCAGGATAGAGAGAGGCCTGTTTGTCATTTTTTTTTAATGGCAATAAAAATCTGGAATACCCTTCCTAGTATATTTCTGCAGGCAAAACACTGGCTATAGCTATTACCTTATGACATAAAAATTTTGGAATAGCCATGAAGTTTGCTTGAATTTTCTCAGGGCTGAGTGGAAAGAACAATGTCAAAAACCAAGATGATTTTAACAGGGTCTGGTTAGCACATGAGGGCGAAATAAGTTTTCTTCCACTCCCTGCCTCTGCATGAGCAGGAAGGGATTAAGTAGCTTAGGTACAGCTGCTCACTGCACCCACCTGCATGATAAGCCTAGCAAATGCGGAGTTGTAAGGGGCTCTTTTTGCCACCTTATTCTACTCTATGGGTGCACAGATAGTCATGATCTGGACTATACGGTGTCATTTTCATTTGCCATAGAAATGAGAAAATTGCAACTTTATAAACTAATACAAAGGAAAATCATATAGGAACTATTGCCTGATTCATTTAATGAAATATGTATCAACTCTGTGGAGTAAAATTATTAGATTCAATCTAAACCCAGTGAAAAAGCTCATTAATGGACAAATCTTAGCAGTGATGCACATTATTTACATACTAAATCTTTCATTCAGATATTTTTTGTGGCATTAAGTTGTTTTTGAACATTATAAAATCGGTGACTTATTTTTCCATTTCAGTTTTAGGAATATATTGAAGAAACCATGGACAATCAACAGGATTTCATTAGCATCTCAACTTGCAGTGGAATTTCTGTTCCTGAAAAGAAAATCAACTCCTTAGTAGCTGAAGATCATGGTCAGCAAATTCTAAATGTACTGCAAAGTTTCAGAAAAAATAATATCTTTTTTGATTTTAAAATACTTGTGAAAGATGAAATAATCCCCTGTCATCGTTGTGTACTAGCAGCATGCAGTGACTTTTTCAGGTAAGCCTACTTCTAATGTAATTTTGAAGAGAATGGATATTTTTAAATTCTTGGTGGGAAAATATAACCACAGAAATTAAGATAAATCAAAGTGACATATCTATCCTCAGCATTTTGAGCAGAGTAATCATTCATATTAAACTCAGATCCAGTCATGCATATTACCAAAAAATTGAGTGACCCTTTGTCTGAGGTGCATACAGTAGTCTGCATTCTAAAATGTAAATGTAGAATCCTAATTAAATATTGTGCACTGGGAAGACTGTGCATGTCTTCTGTATCTGTATTTGAATGTCCACAACACAAAATATGGTTTGACTTAATGTGGGGAGGGCCAAACCCTATACCCCGTACATTCTTATTGTAGAATGCCCACAAGTAGATCATGAATATATTTATTATTATACGTTTTTCCATAAGATTATGGAATAAAGTTCACAAGGGCTTTCTCAGATAAGTAGACAGTAGACTGATGATTAAGGGGTGACTTGATGTATGTACATGGGGAACAAAATTTTTATAATGGGCTCATCAATCTGGCAGACAAAGCTATAACAAAATCCAATGGCTGGAAGTTGAAAGTAGACACTTTCAGACTGGAAATAAGGTTCAATTTTTTTAACTATTAGGGTAATTTGCCACTGGAACAACTTACCAAGGCTTGTGTTGAATTTTGTGTCATTGGCAAATTTTAAAATCAAGACTGGATGTTTTACTAAAAGATATGCACTAGTTCAAATAAGAATTTATTCAGGAAGGTCCTGTGGCCCGTGTTATGCAGGAGGTCATATGAGATGATCACAGTGGTCCCTTCTGGCCTTATGATCTTTGAATGAATCTATAAATGTCATAAGAATGACTGAAAAAAACAAAAATCCCAGCAATTTTTCAAAAACTTCAACTAAACGCAAAATTCAGCCTCAAATTTGTGGCCTTCCCTGTGGTAATTGGAGCCATAAATTAATTAATGAATAACTAACATTCATCTATGTACAGGATGTAGTCCTTTCCGTTATAATATGGATGATCTTCATTGCCAAAAGACCCTAGCTAACCTGTGCTTCAGTAAGGCACAAACCTGCATATCTACACTGAAAGATTTCTAGGTTTACTGTTCACTGAGGCAGAAAATTTCAGTACTTCTGTTATTATGAAAAGCAAAACTAGTACAAGTGAGATTACGTTTCCCAGAGATCAAAAGAGGAGTAACATTGCTGCCCAGCCTTGCCATGGCATAAACTCAAGCCCTGGGATACTTACTGCTGATTGTCCCTCCTGCCAGTTTCTCCCCTTGCTCCTTT